AAGCATGTTACTTACTAGCATATAACTAAAGAGTAATTGAATTTGAAATAATTTTTAAATGTTCATGTTCTCTTTCAGTTAGCTATGTGAAAACATTCTACCTCAAATGTTTAGATTTCATTTGTTTATTTTTTATTTTTTTTTAGGACTCAGTAATGTTGAACGGATTTGGCACAGTGGTCAATGCTCTTGGCAAACGGGTGAAACCTTACTTGCCTCAGATCTGCGGTACAGTTCTGTGGCGTTTAAATAACAAATCTGCAAAAGTTAGGCAGCAGGCAGCCGACTTGATCTCTCGAACTGCTGTTGTTATGAAGACTTGCCAAGAGGTAAACTTTTATGTCAGATTCTTATTTCTTCACCATCTATTTTAATGTGAATTGTAATCTTTTAACATTTTTTTTATTACAGGAAAAATTGATGGGGCACTTGGGTGTTGTCTTGTATGAGTATCTGGGTGAAGAGTACCCTGAAGTATTGGGCAGCATTCTTGGAGCACTGAAGGCCATTGTAAATGTAATAGGTATGGAATTTGCTGATCATGTAAGAATTTTCTTATTTTGGTTTTTAACTTTCTTTTTATTTTTTAAGTAAATTATAGACTCATACTTGCGGGTTGAGTAATGATTTCTGGAACTTTTTTTTAAAGAACTTCAAAATTTTAGTTAAGTCAGGGGGTGATGTCGTAATAGTCTTCTCTCCCAAACCCATTTACATTTTACTTTAAAAGAGAAAAGCAGGCAAGTTTAGGACCTTCAGTGGGAGTAGTCACAGCTCAAAAAGTGTCTTCTTGAAATATATTTGGGAGCAGGAGGACAGCGCTGAAGTTTTAATTTAATTTTTGGACAAAGTATATATCTATTCAACCTTAAATTACTAAGTGCTGATGGCAGGTTTTCCTGCTACCTTTCAAGTGCTAGGAACATAACCAGGGAGAAAAGTGAATTGTTCAAGTTGTTTATCTTATTTTTGTTTATACCCAAGTCTTTAAAACTCTCTATTCAGTTTTGTAACCCAAACTAAAAACAAGTATATTACATTTACTTTTGGGTATTTTTTTTTTTTTAAGTTTAGTATGATGAAATAAATTGTCTTTTGTGTTTAATCCTTCATTATAATTGAATACGACTATTGGAAAAGTAACTTCTGTGGGGTGTCAATCACCTAGCAGGAAGTTAAAATTGTTGGCTGTGGCAGCCACTGTTTCCTTTTAGGAAGGGGTTTTTATGCAATAGAGGACATCTTTCAACTATAGCACCTACATACAATCCCCAACTCAGTCCTGTCCTCTGTACTTAAGGTAGCTTCTTGGCTAAAAATCAGTCACTTGACCACTCGTGGGGCTCTAGTTTGCAGGGAGTTGTAAACCATGTTGTTGCTAAGGGAAATAGGGGAAAGGCAATGGAGAGAGAATCAGAGCAAGTAGTTTTAGTTAGAGCAGGGGCCCCTTCCAGCTGCCTCCTTTTCTCTCTTCGTAGGTGTAAATACCACCCAAGTGTGCCCTGCATTTGCAGTTAAAGGGTAAGGGGGCCCTTTCTGGAAAATTTTGCTTTAATTTCCATGTCTGTCTCTGGCTTACATTGTGTATGGCCGGAACATAAGCTCTCCCCATATTTAAATGTCAGTGCACAAAATACATTTCACAGCCAAATAAAACCTTTTTTGTTATTGAATATTTATCATTCATTAAATCATTAATTTCCTTCATTTCTATGCATAATCAGAAATTGTTAATAAAGAGTTAATAACAATTCTAAGTCTGGTCAGAATCTGGGCCTTTCTCTTTCATAGGCAGCTGTAAGTTCATATTTATGCCTGGTCACATATATTATATTGCTAAGTAAAAGGTAAAATGAACAGAGATTGTGGTTCAAATGTTAATTGACAGTGTGTTGGCTCTGTTAAATAGGTATGCATAAGATGACTCCACCAATTAAAGATCTGCTGCCTCGACTCACTCCAATCTTAAAGAACAGGCATGAAAAAGTACAAGAGAATTGTATTGATCTTGTTGGGCGTATTGCTGACAGGTAAGAGATTAAACATTTTTATAGGCATTATTGGTTTTCATATTTAAATACTTTATTTACTTTGCAAGTTTGTGTAACGTTAATGTAAATATATATGGTTAGGTTATCGGTATTAATATTTTCAGTGAAATTTCAATTTAGATGGTACTGGGGGTTAGCAATATCATTTTAAGACTAAATTATCCTCTCTGAAGAGTAATAATTTTTTTATTTAATGCTTAAAGTGAGTTAGTAATTGTGTTTTGAGACCTGGATTTGTAAATTTACCTTTTAAGGCTTACTGTCACAAAAATTTAACTTTTTTTTTTTTTTAGGGGAGCTGAATATGTGTCAGCAAGGGAGTGGATGAGGATTTGCTTTGAGCTTTTGGAGCTCTTAAAAGCTCACAAAAAAGCTATTCGGAGAGCCACAGTCAACACATTTGGTTATATTGCAAAGGCCATTGGGTGAGTACTATTTATTTCCACATATGTCTATATATATTTTTAATCCTCACCCAAGGATATTTTCCTATTTGTTTTTAGAGAGAGTTTAAGGGAAAGAGTGGGGAGATAGAGAAAAAAAAGAAAAACATCAATGTGAGAGGGACGCATCAATTGGTTGCCTCCCGTACTCCCCTGACTTGGGGCCTGGAATTGAACCCTTGACCCTTCGGTCTGTGGGCCAATGCTCTAACCGTCAAGCAAAACCAGCCAGGGTATCAATGTATATACGTACGTATGTATGTATTTTGTAGCAAACCTCTTGTGATGTTGAAAAAATGCTTCTATTTCTGCAGAAATTTCTTTTAAGGCATAATGTGTGAGTAATGCAGTTGTGAAAGTACATCATTTAACTACTAACCTTCAGTTATTGAAATTTTAAATTGAGTTAAAATGGGGAGGTTTTTTAATTTCATTTAGTCAATTATTTTCAGAGAGGAAAACTACAACCCTCAAAATAATTTCAAATTTTTGTTGCTCTTTTGGATAATGCTTGAAATATTAAGGCCTGTTCTTAATTTAAAAATAAGCATAATTCAGGGCTCATGTTAGTGTTTTGAAAATATTAAAAAAAAAACACTAAAAAAAACAAAAACAAAAATCAGAGTGACCCTTATTTGGAATTGTAAACTATCCAGACAGAATCAATGATGAGCATTCACTTATCTGGGGGAGTTTTTCAACTAATAAATGAATATATCACTTAAAAAAAAAAAGAAAGAAAGATTAACCAAAATATAATATAAATAGGAGAGGTGGTGCTTTTTAAAATGTTGGTATTATTATTACTTGGGAATAGTGAGGCCAACAGACCAGGAAGCAGTTGGCATCAAAACATAGTTTGTTTACAAACAGATCCAAGAGGAGGGTCACACAGGGGCCACAGGAGGCCCCCAGGGCGGGAGCAGGTCAGAGGGTTAGGACTCAGGTGATGCTGTGCCTCTGAGGGTGGAGCTGTCTCTGGTGTCTGGCCCCGCCCTGGGGCGAGGAAGGCAGGCATGGAGTGACGGATGCCAGCGCCCAGGAAGGAAGGCACACCCTGGATAATGTGCCTTCCAGATGCAGACTCCGGGAATTAGCTAGCTCTGGGTGGGGGTGGCCCCATATATCAAAGCATCAAAATACAGAAAATAAAATGCATGGTTAATGCAATTACACAGAAATAGGCCAACTGCAGCCTGAGCCTGGTAACAGAGGGGAGAGAGGCTGCAAAGCAACTCTACTAAGAAAACACTTGGGTTTGAGAAGGTGAATACCGAGCAGTTAACAACTTTGAGTATAAAACAGAATCTCAGTGGCTGGCAGACTGCATTAACGATGATTGGAACACTTCAAGAGAAGTACAATTCAAATTCACACGAGTAATGTTACAGTCTAAGCTGCAGCCCTGTGACCTACTGTTGGAACTAATAGCAGAGCCCAGCATGAACTCAGCACTGCCTATGTCCAAGGCAGTGTTTACAAGATTCAACACCATCTGCTCCAGATCAGTATTCTTGCTACTCAGATGTGGTCCTCAACCAGCAGCAGAGTCTCCTGGGAAAGTCAGATTCAGGCCAGACGCAGGCCAACACCTAAGGAGCTGAGGTCTTCACTGACAAGATCTTCAGGTGGTTCCTGTGCGCTGGAGGCTGGAGAAGCGGTGCTTACACCACCCGCCTGTCTTTTGTTGGCTGGGATTCAGGAACGGGGAGAAATGCCACGCGACTAGAAATGCAGAACCAGAGCCCAAGGGCAAGATGGGGCGGGAGGTGGAGGCTGTGCCTTGAACTCTCACCATGATCAATGGTGGTGAGGAAAGCGGCTGGAAACATACCTCAGAGGGCCTGGACAAAGCACGGCTGGTCCCAGACCCCACCCAGACCCAAGGACTGCACGGGGACTGCAACCCCCTGTCTACTGCCGGACTATCCTTCAACCCGCCCGGAGACCCACCCTCACCCCCTTCCGCCTCACACCCTCCCTAATCCAGACACACTCGGATCCCGGCTACCTCGCCTCCTGCACCAACAAGCCCAGCGCAGGAACCACTCAGATGCTTGTCGCTGCCAGTGCTGGGCCTCAGCACGCTCAATTGGTTTGCAACTTAAAACTATTAAATTTCCCAATCCAGCCTCAAAAAAAAAAAAAAAAAAGAAAGAAAAGTAAAGAAAATATTAAAAAAAACCTAATCCATAAACAACTGAATTACAGCTATTTTATTAATCTACGGTTACTTGCTTCCATTTTTGTCAGAATCAAACTACAGTCATTGGAGAAAAATGAGGTACTATGTGTACCATGTGGCTTGTTAGTAACAGAAAATACCTTCAAGCAATAAAACATAGCTGTAGTCATATTAATTAGATGAAGTCTTAAGCCACCCTCCTTTTGGCATCAGTATATTTACTTAGCGTTAATGTAGTCAAGAAATTCGCAATGAATACCTGTTGTGCTAATGTTTAGCCCCTGTGTTCCTTTAACACATTATACTTTCCATCCGGAAGACAAAACAGGCTGGGCGCTTAATGGTTAAGTTAAAATAATGCTTAAAGAAGGAGACTATTTATAGTAAATGTATTTGGGAGGGAAGCTAGAAAAGGAAAAGATTTTGTGTGTGTTGTGGCATGGGAGACCTCAGTTTTGGTATTACTGTAAAGTTGCCTTGCTCTAGGGCCATGGTTTGAATATTCAAATAATCAATCTGAACATTTAATTAAATTTTTTTTATATTTCAAGAAATTTACTAAAGACTCAAAATTACATTTGAAAATGAATACATTTGATTTTTTCTTTAAAACGGGCCATTTTAATTTAAATGAAGTTCTTAAGTAAAAACAATGCCAGTGACTTTAAAGTATTTTATCATAAAATAAAGTATTTTATCATAAAATTACAAAATTTATCATAAAATTCCCAGTGATTACTTACAGTAGTTTCATTTCTTTGCATTTTTCTTCTCCCTCTAAAAAAAGTTTTGATGTGTAATCTAACATTTGCTGACATTTATTTTTTTCAGCCCTCATGATGTGTTGGCTACACTTTTAAACAACCTCAAAGTTCAGGAAAGGCAGAACAGAGTTTGTACCACTGTAGCAATAGCTATTGTCGCTGAAACGTGTTCACCCTTCACAGTGCTCCCTGCCTTAATGAATGAATACAGAGTTCCTGAACTCAATGTTCAAAACGGAGTGTTAAAGTCACTCTCCTTCTTGTTCGAATATATCGGAGAAATGGGAAAGGACTACATTTATGCTGTAACACCATTACTTGAAGATGCTTTAATGGATAGGTAAGTGACTGGAATGGAGTGCAAGGAAATAGTTATAATTCTTGGCTTTGTTTTAGAATTTATGGAAATAATTATTGTGTGACCTGTTTGTTAGGATTAGTTAAAGGGGAATGCTCCCCTGAATGAAACTATGACTATTGCTATCTCCAAATAACATATATGCTACAAGGGCCCCCTTCCCTTTCATATGTAGACAATACATTTTGAAAACCAGCAATTGTTAACTTTCGTTTTAAAAATTAACTAGTCATAAAAAAAATTAACTAGTCATAATTGGAGGAGGAGGAGGAGGAGCATGGTCTTATTGCTGTGGCAGAGACATGATCTTTTTATTTAGCCTTTGTTACGGCAGATGAAGCAAAGATTTCTGTTAGGCTTTTGAACTACTGAACATAGCTGGCCAGAGCCACACTGTTCCATTGTATTCCCCAAATTATTCAGATGGTGACCACTGATACACTGAGTTATTTGACAGTAGATTCCTGATACCTTTAACCATCTAGGACTAACATAGTTTTTAAACACAAAAATGACACATAAAGGAATGTTTAAGGTCTAAGTAGTAAGGGACTGTTTCATTGCCAGTGTTTTTCAGGAAAAATAAGTTATTCAAATTAGAGCTCATGCATTTAGTTACTTGTTTACAAATTCAAATTACTCATTAATGATCTTACAAAAGAGGAACTTAACAAGCTCAATAAGTTACCACAAGTAACTTGTAAGGCCTGGGGACAAATAAGAATCATGTTCTTTATAAGCCTGCCCAGCTGGAGCTAGTAAAGTAGGAGTAAATCATACTTATTCCATGTTCTTCAGTGAGATGTGTCTGCACATCAGAGTGCAGTCTCTCATGTGTGACTGAGATTAAAAATCACGTGGAGAGGTGACAAAGTTGTAGAAAATTACTAAGTGAAAAGGAAAAGTATTTTAGTTAGGAAATCTATTAATAAGGAATACTGCCTTGCTATATATGAAGCTTAATATATTAAACACTAAAGGCCCGGTGCATGAAATTCATACACTGTGGGGAGGGGTCTCCAGCCTGGCTTGTGCGGGAGCCCTGCAATCAATCGCCCAAAGAGGTAGGCCCTGCTGATCCATGATGGATTGCCCCAAAGAGGTAGGCTCCTTGATGGATTGCCCCAAAGAGGTAGGCCGGAGCCAGGGCCCTGCTTCAGTGGGGGCCATGGGACCCCTGGCAGAAGCTGTCTGAGTGTCTGCCAGGCCCCGCCTCCGCTGAGTGTGCAGCCATCTTGTGATGGTGTGAGGGCATCATGGCATGAGGACCACCTGTATCTCACAAAGAGCTTTTTTCCATTGCAGAGACCTTGTGCACAGACAGACGGCTAGTGCGGTGGTGCAGCACATGTCCCTGGGGGTTTACGGATTTGGTTGTGAAGACTCGCTGAATCACTTGTTGAACTATGTGTGGCCCAATGTGTTTGAGACATCGCCCCATGTGATCCAGGCAGTTATGGGAGCCCTGGAGGGCTTGAGAGTTGCTATTGGACCATGTAGAATGTTGCAGTATTGTTTACAGGTAGGTTATTAAAGATTTTGAAAAGATTATTCAATAAAAAAAGTAATTTAGTTGAATTAAGTTACTGTTCCTAGTTTTCAATAGAGTACATTGTGCCAAATGGGAAAACAGTTGGGAGGGGGAATTAGATTGTTGTCTTTGCTCACTGCAATTTTGTGCAATTCTGTCTAAAAGGGAAATGTTTGGAATCATGTATTTATGGTTTGTTGTGTTAAGGTTGTGTATGTTCTTTGAAAATTGAAATAATGAATCTTTTAATTATTCTAGGGTTTGTTTCACCCAGCTCGGAAGGTCAGAGATGTGTATTGGAAAATTTACAACTCCATCTACATTGGTTCACAGGATGCTCTCATAGCACATTACCCAAGAATCTACAATGATGATAAGAACACCTATATTCGTTATGAACTTGACTATATCTTATAATTTGTTGTTTATTTTGTGTTTAATGCACAGCTATTTCACACCTTATACTTGCTTTGACTTGGTGATGTACACTTGTAAACATTGCAGATGAGCATAAAACTGGTCATAGAGGAAGAGCTAGACATCCAGTAGCATGATTTTTAAATAACCTGTCTTTGTTGTTGATGTTAAACAGTAAATGCCAGTAGTGACCAAGAACACGGGGACTACACACACTGTTCTGGAGGGATTTCATTTTTAATTCATCTTTATGAAGATTTAGAATTCATTCCTTGTGTTTAAAGGGAATGTTTAACTGAGAAATAAAACATTTGTGTACAAAATGCTAACTTGTGTGTGTTTTTTGAACATGACTTGTAAAATGCGGGGACTTTGATAAAGTATTGGTTTGTGTAGCATAAATGGCCTAATTTCAATTTTCTGTCTCCTGGTTTATAGAAAGTAGCAGAATATAAACTATATAAAGTGATATGGTGTCTCTGTCAAATGTTATTGTTCTGTTGATAATGACAATGAGAAGAGTAGCTATTGGGTGTTCATTTCAAATTAGCACAACTGTTCCATCACCATAGAAAATATGCCACCTTTGCTGAACTGTCTTGAATATTATTATTTTGCACTTCCATAGCGCCTTTCATCTCTTGAATTCTCAAAATGCTTTATGAACACATTTAAGGAAAGTGATTCAAGTCATGTCCAGCTGTTGAGTCTGTGTTTAGGAAGTGAGAAGGAATCTTTTTAAAACCGCTTTCTACCTATTCGGAGTGAGGCTACCTAAGGAATGCTACTGGAATAAGCCAGTCTTTGGGCTCTTTTCATGTCATAAGCCACTGCTCAACAATGTGTTCAGTGAATACCTGCTGAGCACTTACTGTGTACCAGCCACTGTGCTTAGTGTAGGGGATGCAAAGGTGCCTTTGACCTGCCCTGGCCCTGGCTGCAGTATAATGGGGAAGGGGAGAGACATCTAAGTACATGTTACGTACTCCGCGCTGTGATACACAATTGCAGCAGCTGAAATGTCTGCTTAGTTTTGCATTTAATACTTTAGATACATTGAGGTATAGAGGTCAAGCATAAACTGAAATGCCATGGAGGTCTAGAGGAACCAAGCATTTAGGCAATAATTAAGTGTTTTTTGGCAAGTATTTTAAGTATATTTTTAGCTTTTGCTAATTTCCTGGCTTGAGTCCTTTTCTACCCATGGCTGTTTTGTTTTGTCTCCTTATGATAGCCCTTCTGCGAACTCTTAAGGGGAACTAAGGTTCTGCAGCAGCACATGCGTAGGAGGCTGCCACTGTAAGTAGAACTGCACCCGGACTAGAGGTTTGTTCCTTGACCTTCTAACGCCCAGGACCCCTGCTTTGAAGGCTTCCATGAGAAACAGTTGGTAATTGGCTGACATTTACAAAATGAACATTGAGCTTTAGTTGCCTCTCCAGGAAGAATTTGTAACTTCTTATGTTCCTTGTAGAAAATAACTGTGACGACAGCCCACAGTTTCCAAAATCATTTTTTCTAAGAAGTTTTTGCAACTTAAAATATTGCTGTTTTCTATAGTTTCTGACAGATGGCCTTCAGGAATTAATAATCATGAAAAGGAAAGAACACAATTGGATTTCCAACCCAAATTTTGATTTTAAATCAGTCTTGGGGGAATTTAGTTATATTTTCACGTCAAGTACTTCTATAACTTCAGTTTGCTTGGGCCCATGTTTTAATGGAAAATATCAATGTTTTGCAGACAGAGGCACTGTGGAGCAAGAGAGACTGCTAGCCACCTTAAGTGACTTTTTACTGATGCAAATAGTTTGAGGACAGAGATGAAGGAAATACTGAAGGCTGTGACCTTCCTAGTTGGGACCAAAAGAGGCTCACAGATATTTGCATTGTTTTATATGCTTGTTGAATAACGAAAGCATTTTGTGATACGTGAAAGACGCTATGTGAAGTTTATCTTTCAGAAACTTGCTTTGCACTTTCTTTTGGTGTTTCTTAAAGCCAAACTTACACAGGAAGAAACTGATGTTCTTAAGGGAATGGTGGGTGGGTCTTTCTGTGGGCTTTTGTTAGTTTTTCTGTAGGCCCTCTAATGGAATTGGTCTCTTTGGCTGTTCAATTTTTTTCATATTGTATTTTTAAAATTTGTTGTATGGTGCCATGTGAGCATCACGTACCACCAAATGAATAAACTTATATCAAAAGTATTTTGACCAGTTTATTTTTTTTATTTTTTATTGTAGATGATGCTGTTACTGTCATACTACACTCTGTTGTGGTTGTGCCATTTTAATAATAATAGCTCTTTGGGTTGTTTCTCCAAACAAGGGAACTTAAATGTTGAAAAACCAAATAAGAAACAAAAAATTGCAGCCATATAGGTTTCTAATGCTTTTTAAATTCCAAAAGGCTAAAAGGAGCAGAAACTACAAATATCACAGGGCTTTCAACCTTGGCATTATCGACATTTGGGCCAAATAAATCCTCATTGGGGGGTGCTATCTTGGGCATTGCAGGGTGTTGAGCAGCATCACTGATCTTTACCCACTAGATGCCAGTAGCATCCCCACACCAGCTGACTACCAAACTTGGCTCCAGATACTGTCTGGAGGGCAAAATCTTTAACAGCCTTAATTGAGATGATTGTTTTAAGCAGTACTCAGAATGGGTAAAATGAAAGCATATCATTTAGTCGGCTGTTGCCTAGGAAGTAACTAGAAATACTGTATCACAAATAGTAAGACACACAGCTCGGGTAAAGCTCTGCATCAGTCCCTGGGAAAGCAAGCTGGAAATGTGTTCATCGTTGTCCTCTGCAGAGGCAGCGCAGGGGCGGCAGCAGCGGGTGGCTGGGTTCTCTGATAGGGGGTGTGATATGGCTGGAGGAGGACAGGCAGAGCAGAGACCCTTTCTCCTTAAAAGAGTATGGATAGGAAGGCACAAAATAGAATGATCAGCAGGGCAGCCAAGGGATTTATAGGCAGGAGGGAGTAATTGTAGGCCTGACGGTTGTCGTGTTCCAGCATCTAGAAAGGGTTCAGGAATCTGGCGAAGGAGCTGCTGTAAATTCTTCGAGTCCAGAGATGAAACAATTTTTGAAGGCATTTTGGGGAGCCAGAGAAGACTTAGCTAAAGAAACCAAGTCTTCCTGTCTCTCTGGACCCCTTGCTTTTTATTAACATAAATTGTCCTAAGGCAAAGTAGATCCACAGATCAAAGGCCAAGGTTTATACAGAATCCATTGTCAGATGGGGGGCACTGCCTATGGCTGTTCAGGTGTTTGGCCAGCAGGAGGCAATGACATGTATATTAAAATGTCCTCAGCTCTCTGGCAGCAAGCAATCATTTATGCTAGGGGTGTGTCGAACTCAATCAGAGAAGGGGCCAAAATCTAAAATCCAGCCTAAATCGCGGGCCGAATGGTTTACTGAACAGTCATAAACTGTCATTGTGATGGAAACGCAGCGGAGTGCAGTGATGACAGCGCGGTACGGGCCACATTGCAAGGCCTGGCGGGACGGATTTGGCCCCGTGGGCCTTGTGTTTGACACATGTGATTTATGCAAATCTTTAGCCATTTCCAGCAGGCAATCCTCAAAGTCCCATCAACCTTTTGATAAAACTTCGCATTTATGACATGCTGGAATTAGCTTCCAGCATAGGTCAGTGACATTTCTAGTGTTCATGCTAGAAAAACTAAGTTTTAAAAATTATTTTTAAACGTATTGATTTGAGAGAGGAAGGGAAAGATAGAAACATCAATGATGAGAGACAATCATTGATTGGCTGCCTCCTGCATGCTCCCTATGAGGATCGATCCTGCAACCCAGGCATGTGCCCTTGACCAGAATTGGACCCTTCAGTTTGCAAGCCAACGCTCTATTCACTGAGCCAAACCAGCTAGGGCTAAAAAATAGTAGTTACTTTACAATCTAGAAAGATTATAAAGGACATGCTTTCATGTCATGGACAAATAGACTTTTTTAAAAAAATTGATTTTTTCAGAGAGGAAGAGAGGGATAGAGAGAAATATCGATGATAGAGAATCATTGATCAGCTACCTCTTGCACACCCCCTGCTGGGGATGTGCCCCAAACCAAGGTACATGCCCTTGACTGGGATCGAATCTGGGACCTTTCAGTCCACAGGCCGATGCTCTGTCCACTGAGCCAAACTAATCTCGGCTGGACAAATAGACTATTTAATGGCCTAGTTAACAGTGGTCGACAAACTGCAGCTTGTGAGCCACAAGCGGCATGTGAGCTGCGGTTTGCCCCTCTGTTCGACTAATGAGTTTGCCGACCACTGTCATATACTACCCTTTACCTCTTTGCACACAATATGTCACAATTGCCTAATCCTCACAGTTTCCAACTACATGGTAACATTTAGTCTAGCAGTGGTTGGCAAACTCATTAGTCAGCAGAGCAGCAAACTCTTCTGAGGACAGTGTGCTGTGGATGGGAGCTGGGACCAGACACCTGTTGAGAATCCTCTCCCTGCTTTTCCTGTGCCGAGGGGAGAGAACAGGGGTCAATATAGTATGGGTTTACCAGTTGGCTCTCAAGCTTGTCAAAACCAGGTTGGTTGTAAATTCAAGTTCTGGATTATAACCTGGGTGTGCCTCTTAGAGGCTTTGTGACCTTGAGCAAGTCACCTAACCTCTGCTTGTTTCCTCACACAGTTTGGATGACAATTGTATCTCCTTTCTTAGGTGGTGGTCCTTGCAAATATTAGCAGATAATGTTTATAATGTAAAAGGCCCAGGCAGGCGTAGTGCCCAGTAAATGTAATAGCTGTTGCTATCAATATAGCTTGTTGTTTTTATTATTATGAGGGAGAAGTACTCTGTTGTCTGCTGAAATTTTAAACAAATGAAGATTAGTTAAAAGAAAAAAAAAAAAAAAGCCTTTTGTTCCTTCTTCACTTGGCTGGTGCCTGCTCTTCAAGAACAGACTCCTGCTGAAACCGGTTTGGTCCTAGGTTCGATTCCGGTCAAGGGCATGTACCTTGGTTGCAGGCACATACATCCCCAGTGTGGGGTGTGCAGGAGGCAGCTAATCGATGTTTCTCTCTCATCTATGTTTCTAGCTCTCTATCTCTCTCCCTTCCTCTCTGTAAAAAATCAATAAAAATAAATAAATAAATGAGCTCCTGCCTGGCTGGTGTGGCTCAGTGGATAGGGTGTCAGCCTGCGGACTGAAGGGTCCCAGGTTTGATTCCTGTCAAGGGCACATGTCAGGTTGCGGGCTCTATCTCCAGTAGGGGGTGTGCAGGAGGCAGCCGATCAATGATTCTCATCATGGATGTTTCTATCTCTCTCCCTCTCCCTTCCTCTCTGAAATCCATAAAAATATTAAAAAGAAAAAAAAGAATGAGCTCCTTTTCCACCATTTGGAACGTGCTGCGTTGGTGTGCTGCCCAGCCCCTGTCCCCCATGCCCCCCTTGCTCCATGTGAAGTTGCCGTTGGCCCAGAGGCTGGGGAAGGCGGCAGCCCAGGGCCCAGCACCCGCCTGCCTGCCGCTCAGCTGGAGGGACGCAGGGAGGGGTGGCCGCCCTGAATTATTTCAGGCAGATTATCACCGACTCGGACCACTGTGGTGCAGGGGCCTCTAGGCAGCAAGCAAGCAGGCACACTTTAAAGCAAGCAATTCTTTGCTCTTTTTCACAAGGTGTAAAGATATCCTATTCCATCCTGTGATTGAGGAAATCATACAAACTGCGGCTTTGTTAAGAAAATAAATAAAAAAAATTTCTATTTCTGTAACAGGCTCAGCTTCCGACAGGGGGCAGCAGAGCCCATGGAAACAGCGGCCGGCCCGGAGCTGGTGGCTTGCCTGCCTTTGGGTCCAGGCGGACTTTTCTGCAGAAACTGGCCCTGAGTGTCTGGCAGACTCACCGTGGACGGAAGGCTGTAAGGTCAGGGCCGGCTTTTATTAATGTAATGTTCTCTGAAGGCAGCACAATATTTGTAAAAGCAAACAATCCTTTCCCGCACTTCGTTCCTGAGCAGGAAAACTCCCTTTCCCGCTGCTGTGCTTCTCCTTCTCTCTTCTTCCCTGGTGACCCTGCTGGTCACCGAATGTGTGGGCTGTTCCCCGCCGAGCAGCTCTGTGACACCAGCTGCATGTAATTCAGGTCTCGTGCTCTTATCTGTGCTTCTGACCAAGTGGCTCTAAGCTGAGATTCCCGCAGCCCCCTTGTTGGGGTCGACAGTTTAAGACTCGCTCACAGAACTCAGGGACACACTCTTACAGGTTTATTATAGAGGATGCGATGAAGGACATAGATGAACAGCCACACGGAAGAGGAGCAGAGGCGAGGAATGTGGGCAGGGGTGTGGCGCACCACTCAGCACCCCCCTGCCCCCCCAGCCCCAGCCCCCTGCCCCCGTCACCACCACCTCGGTCTGCTTCATCATTAACTCCACTATTTCCACTGCCTTTCTCTTCCTGGAGGACAGCGGGCCGGGGGGAGGGGGGCCTGAAAGTCCCAACACCTGCCCCCCACCCCCAACCAGGAGCCACCAAGCCTGGCCTCCTCGGAACAGAAGACGCTCCCATCAGCCAGAGCATCCCCAGGGATTCAGAGCTCTGAGCCAGGACCGGAGTGCAGAGGCTGATTCTGTTATCTCAC